AAAAAGAAAAGAAGGGGGGGGGGAGGGCACAGGTAAGAGTTTAATAAAACGAATAAATTCGTAAAGGCAAATTAACGGGTAATCGTTTATTTTTTTTCATTCGTTTATTTATTCATCACGGTAAATCGGAACTGGAGGAATATAATAACACAAAAAAAAGAGAAGGAATAAACAAAAGGCAAAAATAAAGATAAATATAATTATTAAAAACGAATAAAATTCGGACACAAAAAAACGCAGGTAGGTAATAATACACAAAGTACGAAAGGTAAACGCGCTCGATACAAAAGACAAAAATAGTATACATAGAACGACAAAAAATATAAACTGAACAAACATGCGGACTAGCCTCAACGAACTTTGGAAGTGGATAAAGTCGATTTTTATTTAGCTTTTCTTCATCTTGCGCAAGTCTTTTATATTATTTTTGGTTTGTTTTAACCTTTCCTACCACTTAACACTCTCGCTCTCTTTTTATCTCTCTCGTGCCTATTGGCAGTTCAGTCGAAGTGCCTCTGCGAGCAAAAAAAAAATAAAGCAAGCCAAAAGAAACGTTAAGACAACAAAATAATAATAAAAACAAAAAAAAGAAAAATTTTCTGCGAAGTGAGTGCGCACGAAGGGTGAGGGGGGACGGGGGGACGGAAGGCAGTTAAGTATAGAGACAGGTGTCTCTTTCCTTTAAAGAAAACTTTCTCACTCCCCCCCCCCAAAAAAAAAGATTATAAACAAAAAAGAGAAAACAGAGTCCGTAAGAGAAAATAAAGAGAAGCTTTTCTTTTTTCTTTTCGAGATCTTTGCCCTCGCCGGTCGTTCGAACGCAAATCAAAGATAAGAGTAAAAATATCACTAGTCATTGAGAATAAAAAAAAAAGAAAGGCTCGTATCAACACTCAGATAAATAGCATAAATCATTTCGAGAAAATCAAAATTTTGAAAAAAAAAAAAACTCCAAAGATGAGTCAACATCCCTCTTCAAGTCAAAAATTCATAATGCCTCCGTCCATCCTTTTTTTTTTATATCAATTTTGTATTTTTTGTTTGTTTACGTAAACTCGCGAAAAAAATATTACGGCCACAACCGTCATTCCCCATATGATATGTCTCGGACCCTTAATTTGAAAATGCCACCTTTTTCGAAGTACAATACAACTACGTGTCGTGTTAATAACGTGCCTGTACAACGTGTATAGTTGGTATAACTATATTTATCATTTGCAATATCCCCTCCACTCTAAATACGTCACTCAAGCTCACCATTACTTTTCCTCCAGACTCGTCAACGTCACGCGTCGCTCGTTGAGCAGCATTTACAACCACTCCAAGATAAATGGCGCGAGAGAGTAAAAGAAGAAAGGTTTAAAAAAAAGAACAAGAAAGGGTCCGACGAAGAAAAGGCAAAAATAAAAGTCAAATAGTAAAAACGAACGACAACGCGAGCCTGTTTCATCCACGATTTTTACAAATAAATAAAGTGTCTGGGCTTAATCTCTAAGTGGGGAATAATAATAATAATAATAATAATAATAATAATAATAATAATAATAATAATAATAATAATAATAATAATAATAATAATAATAATAATAATAATAATAATAATAATAATAATAATAATAATAATAATAATAATAGTAATAATAATAATAATATAATAATTAAAGATGAGGCACGCAAAAAAAATATATATTTTGAACTACGCAGACGAGTCAACGAATAAATTGAATAATAAAACGCAAAAAATACGTCGAAACCAAAAAAAGTAAAAAACAGAACGAAAAACTGAAGACTAATAATAATGTACATATATAGAAACCCCGAAGGAATGAGAACGAAGTAAATATTATATATGGTGTATGCGTGTACAATTATCCATACTCTATATTAATTAACTAATTAATTCATTATAACATGGGTAGTACACCTCGCATGACGGAATTGATATTTATCTTCTTTCGTTTTTTTTTTTCATTTTGTCAATCCGTCATCATTACTAACGCCTCCTCGTCATTTATTCGACTTACATGCTAAATACGATATATATATATGCACATATATATACGTATTAATGTATATATATATATATGTAGAA